AAGCTAAATTTAATTGACTGAGTTTGTCAATATCTCAGAAGGGGCTCATATCAACCCCCGTAGGATTGTTTTTCCGAATACCTGATGTCTGTTTAGATTAAGCTTTATCTTGAACATAATCAAATGGTGGTTTTAACCGTATCAGATCCCATCTTTATCCTTACGTTTTCCATCGAACCTCTGAAGCCCTTCTGGTTCAGGTGTAGTCGGCCCGATTTTAGTAGTATGGTTCAGTGAGAACCATGTGGCTTTATCTGCACACCTGTGGGGGAAGATAGTACTTTTCGTTAATTGTTGGAGAGCGTTATCGAAACTCCTCGAGAGCATGAGACATTTAATTCTTCATAATCAGAATACAGAAGAATCTTCTTCGAAAATGGTCCTTTCCGTCTAGCTAGTGTCTGATGGGTTTCGCACATTCCACGCTTCTTCCGGTTGTATCTTCTCATTTCCGCAGCTATCCGCGTGCTCCTCCTGCTCTTCCACACTTTGCAAAAATTCCATTTATCGATGCTAATTATCGTTTTGCTTGTCAGAAGGAGGATCGACATAGTGATTTCCAAAGAACCTCGACCTACATATGGCAGTTTCGTAACTATTGAAATTAAAAATCCCTCTAATCCTTCAACAGAATTTCAATAGTTCAAAAAATTTTTATGGTCATGGTTTTTCTAGCCCGTTCTTCCTCTGCGGTATAGAATTGTTAGCATATTGCCAAACCCTTCTTTTTTGTCCAGGATGGAGATCAACAATAACACTAAACGGACTACCGACAACATTTAGAGGCTACAAATTGAATGGAAACAACGTGAAGAGGTGGTTCATAAGTCGATGCTGTTTTCCATTTAATCAACTGTGGTCACTGCATAGACCCACCAGTAGTGTAATAAAACGTAAACAAGATGCAGCAACACGAACCATAAAAGTCAAAGTTCGAAACCCACAGTACAGTACAACATTATATAATAGTCGTGAATTTAAACAGAGGGTAACAAAACATTTGAATTATATCGTCATGAGAACACTTTCTTACCAAATTGGTTTTAAAACTTGCTCAATTCTCCCATAGAAATCTGATACAAAGGAACTTTCAACCATCTTGCGTTTCCGGCAAGTTTCGAAATCTCATGTCATAGAGTAACACGGTCTCTACGGTTTCTATGAGTGATGAGGAAGTGCTGTGACTGTAAATCATTTTACGCAATAGCATTCATTACCAGAGGATCTCCGTCATCTGTTTCAGCAGTGTCCTTTTTGTAATGTCTTAGACTGTTGACTGTCAGTTTTAACCAGGCCTGATTTATAAGGTATTGAGTTTATGTCTAGTATCATTACTAGTGCATTTATCTACGCTACTGGAATAACAGATCTTATAACATAGTGGACTTGCCATGATATGGCTGCCTCATTTATTTGATCTTACGTCGGACTAACATCTTTGTCTGTACTGACTGACTCTATCGTGGAGTCAGTGCACCGTTTATAAGAACCACTGAATAGGATCATATATTCCATATAAAGAGGGCACGTGTGAGGAAAAACCATGCATTCATGTCCGGGCCATCAAGTATAGATAATAATATCGTTGTTGAGCTTCACTGACATCTGCTCTTCACCAATTATTCAGCGTCCAGAGTGAACGTCATAGGTTAGTGTGCTTCTAAATTCAAACATTATTTGTGGTCACTGTTCAGTTTTATTTTATCAATACCATAAGGAAACTGTTTCTTTAGTTATGCATTTTTTAAAAGTCAAAGAGAAGGTTCATTAAAAATTCTTACAAAAAAACATTTGTAGAAAGGATTATACCATATGAACATCAGATCATAGACCAGTCATTATTTTCAACTCAACCAGAAGACAAAAGTCCATCGTCACCTGTGCAATATACAAGTATTGTGTTGTGGAGCAGAATGTAAATAGCTTTCATTCTCAACAAATGATGCTTACGCGATAGCACTTGCACATTCACCAGGTACCTAGATCCGTTGCTGAAGAGCTACACATATACAAAACTGTCCATATGGAAGTGTACGGAGGCATTACAAGTATAGCAGCTGTGAAGAATTCAGTTAGATAAGACAAGTGGCGGGAAACGGGAATTCGAACTCATCATTTTAAGATTGCGATTTTGTAATTATGAGGAAAAGGGTTTCCGAAGGGTGGATCGCGAATCAGACTGTTTTATTTTCCAAGCGGTTTGGATCATTTGGTTTCATGTTGACATCATTAAAAGTTTAATAACCAGGCTAGACATTGTTTAACACCGTGGCTTCACAAATACTCATATAAAAGACGACCAGACCTCTGGTAAGGGACGGACTTCAACATCGATGTTGGTGAGTATAAGCAGCCATCGAGAAAACCATTATGCCGCTAAAGTGGTTGTGATTGAAAAGTATGAACCCATGAATCTAAATAGACCTAGACAATGCACATATGACTACTTCACATCCCATTGTATTTACCAATTAACATGTTTGTTCGGACACATATACATAGGGAAGGGTAACCGAACAATGCAATCAAGGGTCACTGAACATGTGCCTAGATGGCCTCAAAACCAATCAACGTCAAATGATCCGACTAACATGGAAGCTAGAAAACCATGTTCATCTATAGCGAAACATAAAATTGAAACGAGGCAGCGTTTAGAAAGTTGTATAGAAATTGCCAATTACATATTGTCAGGTTTATCGAGGCTTAGTCTATTCGTAAATGTAAAACATTTTTATAAGCGCAAAAACAAATTGTTGTGAGCCTGAATTAATTCCAGGAAATATTTAAGTCATTTTATGGCCTAGAGCAATGCAACAATTTCTTATTCTTCTTATACCATGTAATATTTTTCTCTCCCCTTTATTACTTTCTTTGTTTGAATTTTCATTTAATTAACCTTTATTAATTTTCATATGAAATTCCGTGACAACCATATGTATGACCAGATTGTTCGAAATTAATAACGCAATCTTTAGATCACATTCTTTAGATCAACTGTATTTTCTCATTGCCCTATCGAAATCATATATACGCTGTTTATCATAAGTCTGGTGGACAACGTCATGCTGACACGAATAGAGAAGTAATTAATGCTTTACTTATATCAAACTAATGAGAGTACTCTTTTGAAACAATGAAACCATAAGCTATTAACAGAGTTACTACTCTAACTGACGCTGATAGTAAACAAATATCAGACTTTGGATTGTCACTCGTCATTTCCTCACGATTTTGTGATACCTGGCATACTCTCTCTGTTTTCTGGAATAGGTTTTAGCTCAGTGAACAGAAAAATAAAATAAATATACAGCACATTTACTGAATGCTTAAGAATGTATGTACAGCGTCACACGAATTATCTTTTAAAAAGTTCTCTAGGATTTCTCCTTTCTTTATTTCTTGTTGTCGTCCCGTAGTTGTTTGTCACGTCGTCGCATTCAAGTATTGGTGGCGCTTTTTAAGTATGCATCGAATTTGCCCACTTTTTTGGAAACACTATTGAGATATGAGATTTTAGAAAACGACTGTGAAGGGAAAAGCGTCAAAAATGACAAAATTTGAAGACTCATGTGACTTAGTTAGTGTTGTGATGCCGTCGTTGGAAACAGCCGAAGCAATAAGAATCTTGGATAATGCATAGGCAGTCTGCATCCGGCTTTTCTTGTAGAAACCTCGTAAGACATAACTATGCTATCAAACTGAAATGTCAGTTATACTTACGAACCGTAATGAAACAGTCTCTAATCCTCTGTATAAGTCTTTGTCGTTTGTTTCTGTGTGAGTATACGTGAAATTGAGAAAACATATCTTGTATGGATGTTACGTGACATCAATATTTTATCTTCTCCTGATTACTGGGTTTCCCATCTTGCCCATGATATTTAACCTTTGATCTAACGTAGGGTCCACGCTAGTATTTGCTTGCAGTTGTGTTTAACTTGTTTTACTGCTCCTAGTTTTAGTGTTACCTGGGTGGTATCCTGGTAGTGATAACAAACTGATGCCTCTGTAGTTCTCACATTTGCTCAGATCTCCTTTCTTTGGTATCTTGATGAGATATCCTTCTTTCCAGTCCATTGGCACTTGTTCCTCTTCCCAAATCTTCTTGGATAGAAGGTTAAGCATATTTGCAGTTATTTCAATGTCTATAGGAAGGTTTGCGTGCTGCTTCGATGTCCGGTGGATTCAATGGGGCTGGTCTATTCAGCAGTTCCTAGAAGTATTCTACCCAACTTTTCCTTTGTTCTTGAATCTCAGTGATTGTCTTTCCTTCTTTGTCCTCGACTGGTCTCTCTGGTTTGCTATATCTCCCTGCCAATTTCTTCGTCGTATCATATAGTTGTTTCATATTCTCTTCTCTTGCAGCTTTTTCCGCCGTCGTTGCTAGTTCTCCCATGTATTTCTGCTTGTCGGCTTTAATGATTTTCATCACTTCCCTGTTTGCTTCTGTGTAGTCTGCTTGTGCTTTGACTTTCTCTGCTCGTGTTCGGCTGTTGTTAATTGCTAGTTTCTTGTTCCTCCTTTCTTGAATTTTGTCCAGGGTCCCCATAGAGATCCATTCCTTGTGATGATGCATCTTAGGAACAAGAACCTCCTAACACGTTGAAGTTAGTGCTTCATTTATCTCTTTCCAGTTGTCCTCAAAAGTAATTTTTTGTTCATTCAGTAGATCTTGTAGAGCTTGGAACCTGTTGTTGAGAGTTATCTTGAATTCATGGAGCTTGTCAGTATCTCGAAGGAAGGCTGTATTGAACCTTTGTAGTGCTGTTTGTCCAGTTGTCCAGTCTTTCTTTAGCTTCAGTCTCATCTTGACCACAACCAGGTGATGATCTGAAGCTATATCAGCTCCTCTCAGGGTTCTCACATCTTCCATTGATCTTCGGAATTTTTTGTTGATACAGATGTGATCTATCTGGTTCTCTGTGGTATGGTCCGGTGAGATCCATGTAGCTTTGTGTATGCGTTTGTGTGGGAATATTGTGCCGCCTATAACCAATTTGTTGAAAGCACATAGGTTTGCAAGTCTCTCCCCATTTTCATTTCTTTCTCTTAGTCCATGTCATCCAATTATATCTTCATATCCTGTGTTGTCCACTCCAACTTTAGCATTTAGATCTCCCATCAGGATGGTGAGGTCCTTTCGTGAGCACTTCTCTATAATTGATTGCAGCCTTTCATAGAACTGATCTTTATCATCGTCGTTGCTATCATTGGTGGGTGCATAACATTGGATAACGTTCATTGTGATCCCTTGCTTCTTTGTTCTGAATGATGCTTTGATTATCCTGGGTCCATGAGATTCCCATCCCACAAGTGCATTTCGTGCTTCTTTGGACAGCATTAGAGCAACTCCCTGAGTGTGTGGAGCATTTTCCCCTTCGTGACCGGAGTACAGCAGCATCTCTCCTGTACCTAGCCTTTGTTGTCCAGTTTGTGTCCAATGGGTTTCGCTGATTCCGAGTACTGCCAAGTTGTATCTCCTCATTTCCATTGCTATTTGGCTGGTCTTTCCTGTCTCCCACATTGTCCGGACGTTCCATGTACCTATAAAGAGTGTTGCTCTGGTTGTTAGAAGGTGCATCGTTCTCGTGACTTCCGAAGAATTTCGGCTTTCATCATGAGACGTCATAATTATTCCTTGAACTCGGAGGGCAGAGTTTAAATGGTTTGAATTATTTTTTCTGGTTAGCGTTTTTTTAGCGAGTTAGCTTTTCTACGGGATGGGATCGCTAACCTCATGCCCAACCCTCCTCCTTTACCCGGGCTTGGGACCGGCAGTAACTCTAGAAGAGCTACAGGCGGAGTTTTAGTGTGCGTTACTGTCTAGAAAATCAAGTTGTAGGGTTTCTGGAAACAACCATCACTGCAACTTGATGCTTAGATGAAAATGACACTTCGGTAAAATTTTCAAGATTGTTATTTGTTGTAACGAAACATTGCGTGATGAATGGAATACGAATGATCTACAAAATTCTGTCGATTTTCTGAAAAAGGACGAAAAAATATGGAACTAGAGTCTTCTACCTACTAACACTGTACTTAAAACTCCATTTTGTACTCCACTTTGTAATACTCTAACAGTTACATAAAATAGAAACGGTGGTTCTCAAACGTTATCTAATAATGATAGTAGTTACAACCTTCGAATATTGGATATAGGTGACTCCTTCTGTTGGTAAGTCATGATTCCATTGTGGCTGACCTAGATAGTTTCATTTTGGAGCGTATAGGGATGTAATTAAAAGCGATAGAAGGTTTCTTTGTCTCAGCGGAAAATAAAGAGTCCATTCATCAACTTCGGAATCCGAATTTTCTGAACAATATTCCATATGCAAGAGTACCAGAAAGGCAACAGGTCAGCTTGATAATAGAACATCAGCTACGCATTCAACAATGATAAATCATGAAATGCACACACCCAATTGTCACAATAGGAAAAAGTTCCAATTATTCATTAGCGATATCCCACTCAAAGAAGGAGGTTTGGCCGATTCGGTTTGGTAGAAATAGAAGCAATCAGCAGTAGATAATACCTAACGTTCCTAAAATCAAATACGGAATGTGCTACAAAATCAACCTCAGGAAATAGAGACAATCTGTTCACCGAGTATAGACCAAAGTATGGCGGACTGATCTGGCAAGTGTCATAAAAACAATGGTGAATAAAACGAAGATAAAACAGTGATCAAAAGACTCAACGACAAGATAGAAATAGTAATGATCTAGAATTTTTACACAATATAATAACAACCGTAGTCAAACTCAAGAATAGGATTCAGTAAACGAAATAAGGACAACAATTAAAGAAACAATACATACCGCAGTGACGCAAAGAGATGGTCATAAGCAAAAACAGACAAGCAGGGATTTTCTGTGTATTTGCACGTGAGAATACCTTAATGCGATAATTACTTTACTATTTGATTTCGAATCTCTAAAAACCATAAAAATGAAGTAGGCTGTTTCACTACATTGAAGAGTACAAGAGAAATTTACACTTATTTTATATTGAAGTTTGAAGGAAAGCGTTATTTATCTAACCACCTAATTCTGCAAAATATATATAGTACATGAAGATTTTAGTTAATTTATACCCTGAATGTTCTATAACTTTCAGTCGTTGAATGTCATACATTTGACAAATAGACAGTGAGCTTGATTTCAGACACCTAAATATGCCACAGAGATTATAATCACAAACAGAGTTCACATGGTCAAAAATGGTTCCTCTGCATTCGTTGGAACCGACGTCGTGAAGCGAAATATTCATCCCATAGTCCTATAAATGATAATCCACGTCAAGAGTCATACATAGTGTAGACCTACCTGAAAGGATGTTGTAACACCATTATAATTTTCGGTCACAGGCCCTGGTCAATGAAGCAGAAGTATAGATGACAGAGATAAAATTTATATAAATACCAACAGTAGGGTGTGTGTAAAAAACAGCCAATTAATAATATCCGCTTTACGATTAATACGGATGAACAATAAATACTGAACGTATATTTGGATACACAAAAAACACCACAAATAAAAAATATGGGTTCTTTTTTCGTTACGAAAATCACTAAACATACACGTCACTGTAGTTTAACCAAACTATATGACACTTGACGAACAACAGGTTGTAGCTGTAAATAATTCCCCAAAATCAATAGTTCATTAAGTGTTCGACATTGGATGCTGACCACGTGTTTAGGTGGACTTGTTTAGCTGCAGGCTTTCGGTCATGCATCCGTACCAGATCACGTTTCGACTAGGCGTGGGACACAGCTCCTACGTTTCATTAGCCAGCTCATAGAAAAGGTCCTCGATATATTGGTAACGAATCAAATATATCTTTCCTGCCTCTTCTCGTCTGACTTCTGATTTCTATCTGACTGGGAACAATCGAATTTAGAAGGTGCCACTGGTATCTATTTGTAAAACTAGAATATCCGTTGCATCATCAAGGTCATACTTCCAAAAGAACCACTTTAATTTTTGACCGTCGAAGTTAATTACAACGTAAACTCATTAGGACATCTAAGCTACTGAAGCGTGACATTAAAAAATGTAGTAATTCCTTAAAATGTCAGCTAAGGGAAGATATAGAATTTTTCACTAAAGCCACAGTATGGGAAATTCTCAAGGTTTCAAAGTTCATACTTATCATATACGATTCTTTAGGAAAGACCTATATACCGTCTCAAGTTTTTCATTAATAAGTTTAAAATAGCTTGTTCCAATTACGATAAGACTTTCGAAAGAAAATTCGGAAAGTACAGATGTTACTTCGGAATATATGGTCTTTTTATGAAGTCTAGTGTTACCACTTTTTAACGAATTCTTTAAAGATGGGGACATCCATGATATTTGTTATGTACTAATCATTCGTAGCATTGCGTTTCCTGATAATTGATGAATTCCGAACACAAGGCTGATCATATTGGCACATATTTGACTAGTACGTTACTTTCGGGCTTTTGTCTTAGGCTGTGTAAGGTACTTTGTATGATTTATCTTCTATGTTTATGGCTTTCATTCATCAAATCACATATTTGAAAACGTTGCAATTGTTCCCTACCATTGGAAAATGGCTGTATGGAATCAACATCAAAGTTCTTGTATTTGATTTACGTTAATAAACATCTCAGCTTATTGTAGTGTGTTCGCCTTGTTAGTCGCGTAGTTTATAATACAAGCGCGTGTTCCATGAGTTGTTTTGTGTTTCGAATTTTAGTGTTTATGTATTTGTATTGAAAATTGTACCGACACCTCGAACTCGCAATCTTTCTTTTACGCGGGTTTCAATAATATTACTTGGCATTTGCCCATGGTTTTTTAAAATATGTATATTCGCGTCTTAAATTATTTTGTTCTCTTTGTGATTCGTTTTTCGAAACAAGACGTCTTTTTTGGTCTATAAGTCCAGATAGCATGCAAGTACAGAAACTCCCCAGAGTGCTTTTTTAGTTTAAGATATATCGGATCCAAAAGCAGGCTGTTTCTTTTAATATTGTGAATCTGTTTTTTGAAGACATCCTGTAAATATTGTCTTTTTGGCAATGTGTCCCCGTTTGGCTGCCAAGTTAAACTTACTCCTCACTTTATATCATACTGTACATATGTGAAGCTTTTGGGGCGAGATTAAAGTATACTGCCAAGTCAATCAGAAGCTTTCGCGGGTTTTCAAGCTCACGGCGCTAAGTTCGGTACTTGATGCTTGTGTACGATCGGTTCACAGCGGATTTTAGGGGAGACGTGATAATTTAGCGTCTACAAGAGAAGTGATCATAAGATTTTGGCGCGAAATTCATTTATCCATTTGAATAAATAGAGTTTTGGCATTATAGCTGATGTCAGTTCGTGATGAAAACCCTAAGTATAATTCCTAGCCTTAATCATGAACTGTAAATCATAATTTGAATTCTTCTTACAGGTTTATAACCCTCATTTGGTGTTAGTTATTATTTGACACTCTCAGAGTCACTCTAGCGTCGCTCAAAGGTCGTCCATAAATTATAGTCTTACCCTTAACCCTAAACCGTAAACCATACCAATATTCCAACAACATTGAAGCTATGTGGTCGAGGCTAAAAGAATTGTTGAGACCTTATCATGGTTTCAGAGGTCGACTACTATGGAGCCATATGGATGCGTTCCTGTACCGTATGCAGTATGATTTTAGAACTCCCGAACCTATATATATTCTTGATAAGTTTTTGAGTCATGTAAAAAAACAGTATCCACTTTAATTTTCGAGTTTTGTATAATATATTTTTACTGTATATTAACTGTCTTCTGATTGGCTAATATTTCTCAAGGTTATTTAAGATTCGTTCAAAGGTCGGCAGTGTAGTTTAGTCTCGCCGCTTTTGGTTGTCAGGAGATTACACAAATACCTCAATTCTAACCATTTCTTTAGGTTTGTCAATTTTTAACAACTTTCTTCATGTTCCACTAATCCTTTTTTAATCGTTTAAAAGGCATTAATGCTTGACCATAATTCATGTTGATATGTGGTTGATTAGTCTGTTATGCAAGACAGTAATTTCTATACATTTAATACCAGTGACCAGAGTTTCTCATCTTTAAATAGGGCCCCCAAATGCCCTGGTACGGCCGAGAGTGGGGAGAGTCTACTTTCCCTCTCGAAATGCTCTCACATGGCCAGCGAATATATAGCCTCTGCCAGGGAAGTCCTACTCACTGCCTTCTCGTGGCGGGGGTGTTGTTTACGAAAGTGAGAGGACGAAAAGCGAATGTCCGGCGCTATAACCGGATTGGTGGACACGGAGGGTCCACCTAGGGGAGTTGGAAAACCCTGATTCCAAACCAATGGTGCACATGGGCTCCAGTATCCTGATGGAACGAATGGCGGAAGAACCTGCTGTTGGTCAACGGCAACCATGGGACTGCATCTCCTCACGATGCTCCACTGCCTTGTGGATCAGACCTTTTGGTCAAAGGCTCGGGGTGTGGTCCCCTAAGAAAACCACCTGCTTCGGTTTGGGCACCCGGGCAGTATCACAGCCCACACACAAACAAATGAATGAAATTATGAACTCTATTGACGATATCCCTGGTCATACTAAAA